CGGCCGTGGGCCCGGCCGCCGCGCTCACTCGATCCCTCGTGGCCGCCGCGGCGGCTGCCGCCTCCTCCGTGTCGTCGTCGGCCGCCCTGGGGACCCTGCACCAAGGGACCGCCCTGTCCAGTGTGGAGAACTTTACTGCTAGGATTTCTAATTGTTAATACCGCTGGGGTAGCGCGCGGGAGAGAGAGAGAGGAGAGAAGGTAGGAACCTGGCTCCTTCTTTTAATGTTTAAGTTTTTGCTATCTTGGGAGTTTGGTTGGTTCCCTCCCCGACCCCCCACCCCTCCGTCCCCCTCCGACCTCGACCTTCGCATCCTCTTTCTCGGCGCTGCGGATCCTCGGACGAGACTGTGTTGGGCGACCAGCTCCGCACGACTTTCGGCTCCGCGGGTCCCTCTATTTATGTAAAATCGACCTGTGCTGCAGCCCCCGACCCAGAGTTGAGGGGAAGAGGGTGCTGGAGGGGGGGGGGAGAGGGATTTGCCCCGTCCAGGCACTAGGGGATTCCTTTACTTTTGGCAAACTGAAAAAAAAAAAGGAAAACAAAAATCTAAGCCTTTTTGAGGTGTAGAGATTCTCAGGTCCAGGCGTTTTTTGTTGTTGTTTTAAAATTTTATATTAACACCGTTCAAGTGAAGAATAATACATACAAAAATCAGTAAAGGTCTCGAACAATGCCTTTTATCTGAAGACACTTGTCTGGTGTGCTTGTTCACAAAAAGGAGAAAATAATGTGTTTACACCGCAAGAAACAAAAGACAAAATGATCATTTCTTATTTTAACCTGTGTTTTGTATAATAATAGACATGCTAATTTTTATTTTGTACTTACTGCGTATTCTCTACAAGGAGTATTGTAAATTTTACTGGCAATTATTATTGTACTATTCTAATGTAAGATTTTTACACCTTTTTCAGAAATAAAACGCTTAATTTTCAAAGAAAAGCCACCAAAACAGTTGGCTTCCGTTGTCCTCTAATTAGTTTATTTTCTTTTTTTAAAGGCAAGTTTCTATGTGGTATAAGTGTGAACTCATTACAAAATAGGCTTAATTATTACTTTCCAAGAGAATTTAACACATCCAACATGCCAAGTCCAAACCATTGAGGGAGATCTGAACTTTATTTTTAAATGGCCACAAATAAAATAAATTATTTTGTGCAACTCTAATTCTATTCCATTTCACAGACTATTGAGACATTTGAAAATGGAACCACAATTTTTGTAGGAATTTAAATTTTATTTTTGGACTTCTTGTTCAATTTCTGCTCTGAACACAATATTGTAATATATATAAAATGGCAACGGTATTTATACTATATTGTAATAGAAACAACATGAGCAAAGAGGCTGTTTCCAGTTAAAATTTTTATGGAAAAAATAATAAGACACAACCAATTATCAGTTTAAAAGCTTTAAGGTCCCAAATAAACATTTGCATACATACTCCAAATTTTATTAGATAGTTCTATTTAGAGTTTCTACATTTGAGATGAAAGGGATCCCAGCAATTGCAACAAAGGAGTTTTTGTGTTGAAAGACAAATATATTGAACTTCTAGCTTAAATGAATGTTTTAAGAATAAGAAAAACATTCAACTTTAAAATAGTATTTGCTTTAAATAATTGAAAACAAAGTAAATGCTTCAATTGTTTATTGAACTAACTGTGCAATGTGGGTGATTTAGGCTGTCTCCAATGTTAAGCCTTTCATTGACTACAATGTATTGCATGCAATTTCTAGTTCTTCGACCAAACTTGAGACTAGTTTTGATGACTCCAGAGATTAATTAGGGGCTCTAGATAAGACCACGTGTATGTAATATGTAATTTGAATGCCTACTTTAGTGGCTTGCAGTGAAGGTTGAAAATATATTCAATTTCTTTAAAATGTTCGGCAGATAACAGATCTGATGATCTACAGTTCTAAACTTTACAAATTAGTGAAATCTACATTCTAGGTTGCTATTATGCAATGACATTCACTATTCCTAACCTGGCCTCCCATCCCATCTGAGAGAGGAAAATTTGCTTCTCACAACCTCTAAAGTTTCTCTCTCTCTCTCTCTCTCCCCCCCTCTCCCTCCCTCCCTCCCCTCCCACCCCTCTCTCCTATGAGACGTGTGAAAGAAGTTAAACGAGGGGGTAAACACACCCGCCTCAAACTTACCACTAAATATATAGCTACAAATGGAAATGCTGTTGGTCCAAAATCTTATATGCAAAAGTTCCTTGTACCCTAGACCAGCTAAGAGAGGACTGGACCCAAGGACGTCAGAATCCCACGCGCAGGAGTGCTGAGACTGTTAACAGGCGGATCAGAACGGCACGCCTGCTAGCCTTCTGCAATGCCCAGACCTGAACTTTAGATCTGAAACGAATTATGAAGACAGCCAAGAACAAAACCGTGTGTACTTTTTAATTTTTTTGTATGATGCGTGGATGGTCCGAAAGTAGGAAAGTCCCCAGCTAAATCTGCTCTGGTTTAGATTCCTGTATCTTTAAAAATTGCCTGGACAAGCTTTCCTCCCAGATGCCCAGTGTACTTAAGAAAATCACACTAGGCCAACCTGGCACTGGCCCGGTGGGGCCCGGGCTAAGCTCCTGCTTCATCCGCCCAGGCTTGGCACGGCAAGCCTGTTTTCACACAGGTGGAGCGCATAGAACCCTGGCCTGGGCGGTAATAAAATACAACCTTGGGCCACTTGGGTTGCCAGGGTTGCGTTCTGAGGGTTTGGACCCCCACGCACTGGGGTTGGGGTTTGGTATTCGTCTTTGGCAATTCTGCGGGTCTGATCAGCGGGCGGAGGACTGAGAATGCACACAAGGTACAGGTTGGGCGGTGTGCGGCTGTGTGAGGGCCCCGGGGAGGGCGAGGATGAGGAGTGGGCCCTGGGCTGTGGCCCGGGGAGCTGGAAGCTGGGACGCGCCCAGCGAGACCGCGCTGGCGCCCAGCGAGACCGCGCTGGCGAGCAGGTGCTGGAACAAAGGCCGCCAGGCAGTCAGGCTACTCCGGCCTTTGAAGGGCCAGGACGTCTCTTCCCTGGGCGGCTCATTCGCATGCAAATCCAACGCGGGTCCCCGTTTTTGTTTTGTTTTGAAGGCAAACAGAAGGATGTTTGTGTGTTTGTAGGGACGTTGCCTGCTTGAACAAGCCTTCTTCAATAGGCTGGGTCTCGGAAAATAAACCAGTTGGACAAACATTGGCCACCAACTCTCCTCCTCCCAACTACAAAGTGTGGATTTGCTACAAGTCATTAACCCGAAGCTTTTCTCCCCTTCTTCTTGTTTCCCTACTCATCAAACGCCCCCGTAGAGCGTGGAGACAAATGAGTGAAGCGCAGTCGGGAGGGAATCGCAGTTAATAGGGAGAGGGATATATTGGGGCTAATGGTTCAGGCAGCTCCCGGAGAAGGACCACACAAAAAGGAGCCTCTCCATTCAGGGCTCTGTTGTGCTGCAGAGATTTAATCTGCAGCTAGATTTAGCCAAATGTTATCTATTGCGGGGATAATGAAGCCCTTATGGATTGAATTGCTCCTTGTACCACACATGGTGTCATGACCTTAGATTGTTTCTTGGCTGATTTCTTTTTTCCCTCTTGGGTAATTATTTTATTTCTTTAAAATAAAAAGCTAGTGCTTCTGCTCAACAACGCATTTCCTCTCCATTCCCATCCCACACTTTTAAGAGCCATTTCCTTTCCTCTGAAGAAAAAAAGCTAACAAGAGGTGAAAGAAAAAAAACTGCAAGGATCTTTCCCCTCTTAAAAAAAAATGGGAAAACATCTTTATATTAACTCATCTCTGCAACCCCATTCCCTATTTCATGGTAGCTTTATGCCAGGGACTTTCTGTAGCTGGAACTGGAGTTTGGGTTATATTATTATCCAAACCCATATTATGCAGTAAGCATAATATCACAGGAAAAGGCTCCTGCCCTTCACAGACATTCTTTTTTAGAAACCCACCATGTCTTCCTGTAGCAGTGTGCTAAGCAAGCTGGGGGAGGTGGTCATTCTGATGGAAGGTGATTATTTTGATGGAATACCAGTCGGTGCCATTTATTAAAGGCTGTCTGAGGCCAGTGGTTGAAGCTGTGCCTGCTTTGTTTTTCTGTCTCTGGCCCTGGTGGCTCTGATTTCTTCGCTTGAAGAAGGACTAAGCTCGGAGCAGCTAAATGGTGTTATTACAACTGCTATTGATGGGTAGGGATCTGATCTTACTCTCCATTGCCAAAAATCAAGGATTCTGGGTTTTGGTTTTTTACATTTTCTGCTGGCTACACATTCTGCTCACACCTGCTTTCATTAATAGCTGAGGAAAGTCATTTGAGGGCAAGTTAAAAGGAATGATCAATATCAAACTCAGCTCAAATCAGCAATTTTCCCTAGGAATAACTAGGCTGTCTGTATATGTGTAGGATGCTGGTGGAGGGATACATGTGCCTCTAATTGGAATGCCAGCCAGTCTCCCATCCCCTTTAGAACTGAAGCAGTGTTGGACTGGCCTGGGGAGCAGCATTGTCTGCCTTCACTCTTGTCTCTTCTGGCTTCCTGGTGGTGTGGCTGAGTCACACATACATAGGGCATGCATGCTCATTGCCCATGAGCCACTACTTGCCTTCCTTCTCCCCTATGATTTTGTAATTAGACATATGTTTTTTGTTGGTAAATGTGTTTGATGTCACAGCCAGTGAAACGTGGTGTGTTTATAGGGCCACGAATGTAAATGTGTAAATATGTTTAGTGTAAAATCTGGCCCTTCGACTTTAGCAATAAATACCCTGCCAACTTGGATACGATTACATTTGACAGAAAGATGGAGAAGCTGATCATGACCAGCTGCTCTGGGCTGTTTGGGGCTTACACTTCCCCAAATGAATTCACTTTTCAGATCATTTCTTTGCATGTCACATCTCTCTAATCACATCTTTTCCTTGATGGGAACAGCTTGGACTCCTTTCTTTTTTATTGCTGACCCCTGTGGTGTGCAGGAAACTTCCTGGTTCATTCCTGCAGCTTCTCTACCAAGGAAATCCTAGTCAGTAAAGAAACAAGGCTCACAAGGAGAAAACAACTGATTTATCATTGATGAGTCCTAAGCCTTCAGGTATAATAGGGTAGCTAGGCGGTGAAATGAAGATGATAAATTATAAGC